TCTCAATTTTATGAGCTTCCTTATGTCTTTTTCTCCAATTCTCCCCTGTGCTGGAGGAGGGGAGGGGGATCTGTGAGAGCAGCTCCGTGGTATTTTGCTGGCCGCAGTTAAACCACGACAGCGTGTGTGTTCCCCATGTATGTATGAGATGTAGATATATTTGGGTTAACTGTGCACCCAGACGTTCTTCATTTAAGGCCTTTTATGCCGCTTTCTCACTCGGGGAATTTAGAACGAGGCACAATTTGTTAAAAATATCTGAGGAACAGTCTGTAACGGAGACGCTCTGCAGCCCAACAGCGTTACTGTGGCAGCAGAGTCACGTAGGTTGAAAATTCACCTGTCTGTTCCTCACTAGAGCGCAGTTACGTGAGCGCGTGCGCGGCAGCGGGGTGGATGGATGCAGCAGCTCTTGCTGCTGGGATGCTCACCGTTAACCTTGCCCGTTGGTTTGGCTCTGAGGATGATTTCAGCGGCTCACGTTAGAAACTGCTTTTCTCTCCCCCGCTTCTTATGCTGGGGGCGAGGTGGGGGGCTGGGAGCAGTTCCCAAAAGATGGGAATCGACCAAAACAAAGTCATGTGGCAATTTGGAGGGTTGTTAGGAAGTGGCAGTGGATGGGCCCATGGGGGGGGTGTGTCTGGGTCAGCTTTTGGCTGCATCCCTCCGCGTTCCCCTCAGTGAGAGCTTGGGCTGTCACAAGCAGAACCTGTGGCCTTGGGATTTGAACATAGCTTTACAGGAAGCGTGGTGCTGTAGGGTTGAGTGTTGGACTCCTGAGGTTTCAAAGGAGCTTCCCAGCCATAAAGGGGTCTTCTAGATGTGATGCCTGGTCAGGATCTCAGCTCTCTTTCTGCTGGGATTGGGGCAGTGAACTTCCCCGTCACATGGATGAGATCTGGTTCCAAGTGCTGAAGGTCCAGCAGCGGAGGGAAATGCATCGTACAGGGTGTGACTGAGGGAAGAGAGAGCGCTAAGGATTAGAAACGTGCCTTCATAATCCCGTGTCGCAGCAGCAGTGTGTTCAGATGGGGCTTCAGTGCCAGCGATGTGTGTCACAGCAGACAAGCTTGCAGGGAAGCTCTTGGATTTCACAGAATCATGGAATGACAGACCGGTTTGGGTTGAAGGGACCTCAAAAGCCCCCCCAGCCCCACCCCCTTCCACGGGCAGGGACACCTTCCATCGCCCCGGGGGCCCCCAGCCTCCTCCCGACTGGCCTT